CATCTACCTGTAAAACCTGAATATGGTGTTCCACTTCCAAAATATGAGTAAGAGCTGCTATTAGCAGAAATTACTAATATTGTTAAACAATTCCCACTGCAATCAACTGTTTCTTCTCAGTTTACAGGTAACTATTCCATTCTAACTGATTGAGCCTTAATTTAAAAAAAAAAATCTGGTTTTGATAAAGAGACAATGGAAAAGTACAAGAGACAAATGGAAAAGTATCTTTTGGCATGGATTAACAAAAAGAAAAACGAAGCAAATTTTAACAAGTTCCAGTGCTCAGCAGGAGCAGAGATTTAATATCTGACATGAGGATTTAGCATTTGAGGGGTTGGTTGGTCTGAGGTGTTTGTTTTGGGCAAGGACTGCAGGAATGGCAAAGATCCCCAAGGCATTTGAATGATGGAGTGGGGAAAAAAACTCTTACTGCTCCCCATGGACCTGTGTGTGCATTTCACACAAATCATCTCTCACTACGCTCTTTATTTTGTTTTGGAGACCTTTGGGACCAAACTGTGCAGTTCTTGAGCTCTGCAGGTGCCACACAAAAATCACATTTGGAGCAGAGCTCTCATTGGGTGTTTACAACATAAAATATTGAGCATTTGTTTGGACCCCTGGAGATTTCCCTGCTGTGTTTTCTCAGTGACAGAGAATTTCATCTCCTCACGTCTAAGTGATGTTATCAAATCAACCAACTGTGATGGAGAGACACACTGCACCACAGAGTAACAGAGAAACGTCACCAAAAGTTTCAAAATTTATCCTCAAAATTATACAACTGCTGCAAGAAAAATGTAGAAGGGCACTGCTGGCTAAGAAAACATGGGAGGGAAGTTTTGGAGATCATAAAACCATTCTATCCTGATTGAACCAGACAGGATTCATATAAAATATGCACACAAAACTCCACATATTGCTGGAAATTCCCAGCCATGCCATGTGGAAGAGTAGGCTGGCCCTGGCACTTCCCAGCTTCAAACTTTGAAATTTTGAAACTGAATTTTTAAAAACTGTTAACATAGTTGAAAGTAGAGTTTGGGTTGAGTTGAAGAAAAAAGTTTTGTATGGTACCAAAACAACACAAAGATTTTGTGGTAATAATAATAAAAAGTGATAA